CGCTCTGTCGCAAGGCTGGAGTGCAGTGGCATGATCTCAGCTCACTGCAACCTCCGAATCCCGGGTTCAAGCGATTCTCCTGCCTCAACCTCCCGAGTAGCTGGGACTACAGGCACCTGCCACAACGCCCAGCTAATTTTTGTAATTTTAGCAGAGACGAGATTTCACCATATTGGCCAGTATGGTCTCAAACTCCTGACCTTGTGACCTGCCTGCCTTGGCCTCCCAAAGCGCTGGGATTACAGGCGTAAGCCACCACCTCTGGCCCTTTTGACAGATTTTTCTTTTTGTTTTTTTTTGATGGGGGAGGGATGGAGTTTTGCTCTTGTTGCCCAGGCTGGAGTGCAATGGTATGATCTTGGCGCACCACAACCTCCACCTCCCGGGTTCAAGCGATTCTCCTGTCTCAGCCTCCTGAGTAGCTGGGATTATAGCCATGCACCACCAAGTCTGGCTAATTTTATATTTTTAGTAGAGAAGGGGTTTCACCGTGTTGGCCAGGATGGTCTCAATCTCTTGACCTCATGATCCGCCCACCTCGGCCTCCCAAAATTCTCTGGATTACAGGCATGAGCCACCGCGCCCAGCTAGGCTATACATTTTTTTTTTCTTCCTTTCTTCAAAGCAGAAATAGGCTATACATTTTTAAGCAGTCACGTATACTACCCCCGCCTCCCAAGTTCAAGCAATTCTCCTGCCTCAGCCTCCCAAGCAGCTGGGACTACAGGCGTGTGCCACCATGCCCAGCTAATTTTTGTATTTTTGGTAGAGACGAGGTTTTACCATGTTGGCCAGGTTGGTCTTGAACTCCCGACCTCAGGTGATCCACCTGCCTCGGGCCCCCTAAACCGCTAGGATTACAGGCGTGAGCCACAGCGCCCAGTTAGTATGTGCGTCTAACGTAAGAATTATCAAACAATTATCAAATAGTATTTTAACTGTTTGTATTTTTCCCTACCAAACAGGAAGTGCTTAAGTGCCTGGTTTTTGCCTCAATTTTTGAGCCTAGGGTCTAGCTTAATGCTAAATACATAGCAAATACTCAATTAAAAACAATTTTTTTTCTTTTTGGAGGGAGAGAGGACAGAAAAAAAGGAAAGAAGGGGAAAACGAAGGAAGGAAAAAGAGAGAAGGAAGAAGTCCACTGAGAATAGGAACTTTATAAATGAACTAGTAAATTTCTCATTTAAATAATTTAAACCTGATTTAAAGCATAAATATTATGTATAAACATCTTAAAAATAGCATAGGAATGCTGCACAATTGTTTTACTATAAAAACTTTAGGGCCAGCTGCGGTGGCTCACACCTGTAATCCCTGCACTTTGGGAGGCAGAGGCAGGTGGATCATCTGAAGTCAGGAGTTTAAAACTGGCCTGATCAACATGGTGAAAGTCTGCCTCTAGTAGAAATACAAAAAATAACTGGGCATAGTGGCGAGTGCCTGTAATCTCAGCTACTCAGGAGGCTGAGGCAGGAGAATTGCTTGAACCCCGGCGACGAGGTTGCAGTGAGCTGAGTGCCATTGCACTCCAGCCTGGGCGACAAGAGCAAAACTCTGCCTCAATAAAAAAGGAAATTTCAAAGGGTAGTTTACAACATTCAAATATTACTTCAAATAGTTTCATGTCCTCCAGACTACATATTCCAAAATGAAGCCGGGAGTGGTGGCTCACACCTGTAATCCCAGCACTTTAGGAGTCTGGGGCAGGCAGATCGCTCGAAGCTAGGATTTCGAGACCCACCTGGCCAACATGGTGAAACCCTGTCTCTACTAAAAATACAAAAATTAGCTGGGTGTGGTGGCGCACGCCTTTCGTCCCAGCTACAAGAGAATCAATTAAACCTGGGAGGAGAAGGTTGCATAGAGCCGAGATCTTGCCACTGCACTCCAGCCTGGGTGACAGAGTGAGATTCCATCTCAAAAAAAAAAAAAAAAAAAAAAATTGTACTACTCATAATACATTATATTAATGTTCTCAAAGTGGGGTCCCTGGACCAGCAACATCCACATCACTTGGGAATTTGTTAGAAATGAAAATTATCCTGTCCCTCTCTAGCTCTCTTGAATCAGAAACTCTGAGGGCGGGGTCTATCATTCTGTTTTGATAAGTACTACAGGAGATTCAGATGCTACTCAAAAGTTTGAGAACCACCAAAGTTAGTGCTAACGTATGAATGAAGAAGCACCACTCAAATTCAAATTTTCATACTGTTAGACAAAAAAGATTAAACTTAAATTTTTTTTCTCACTATTAAAGTTCCCCATCACAGAACTTTTAGAATATATAGAAATTTAAAAACAACAGATGGAGGAAAAAAATCTTAAACTTTCATTTAGTCATAGACTACTTGGTTTCCTCTTGTTACAGCCTCCACCCCCCAAATTATCCCCCACCTAAATTGTCCATTTTTTTTTTTTTTAAGGTGTAATGTCTCTCAGAGTTTTTAAGTTCTGTTCGTGGCAGCTTTCCAAAATCTTTCTCTAAAGTATCAGGAGGACATTATGTCAGTAAGAGCACAGATCTGAAATCTGGCAAACATCCATTTCATTCCGACTCAGTCACTTAGTGACTAAAGTCAGTGTGTTTCAGCGTCTTTGAGCCTTGCTCCTTATCTGTAAACCCAAATCCTACCAGGGCTAACAGCGATTATGTCAGGAAAGCACTGATTCCAACGTCAGGCGCCGCTGGCACTTTGCGAGGACCGAGAAACCGCAGCAAAGGATGCGGAAATGAGTAGGTGAAGCACCTGATTGCCTAAACCAGTCGCTTCTTTCCTCCATCACTCAAAGATCAACCTTAACTCCCTCCAAGGATTCGTGGGGAAAATTCGCCCCGAGGGACCGGGGACACGCATATTTTAAAAAGGTCTCCCAATGTGATTCCACGGGCTCACAGGGAAAAAAACACGTGAAGTGACGGAACGGGCCGTTATCCTCTGCGAGGTCCCTTTAAGAACCTCGCTCTGTTGCCTTTCTCCCGCCCGCTCCTGGGCGGAGGCGGAAGCGGAAGTGGCGAAGGAAGTGCCTGTCTCCAAGATGGCGGCCGCCTGGCCCTCCGGTTCGTGTGCTCCGGAGGCCGTGACTGTCAGACTCTTCAGTGTCCTGTGGTTCATCTCAGTCACCACAGGACCCTGGGGGGCTGTTGCCACCTCTGCCGGGGGCGAGGAGTCGCTTAAGTGCGAGGACCTCAAAGTGGGACAATATCCTCTGTGGGGAACACCCCCCATGGAGGCGAGGTAGAGTTGGGGTCGCAGGTGGGTCGCTGCTCTCAGCACGGGCTAGGGCTGTAGTGAATGAAAACGGTAACTTGCTCTGTGGCTTCTGAAGACCGAGAGATCCCTGAAGGTGAACAGAGTTGTGGAGATGGAAGGGCCAGAGGCCAACCTTTGTGATTTCTTTATGATTTTACTAGTCACTGGCGCTTCCTCTTCGATCCAGTTTTTTTTCTTTTTTACCGGTGTGCTTATTTGTTCAATAAAACATGTAGATGAAGTATGCCAGGCCCCATTCTAGACACAAGTAATACAAGGATTGATAGTCTCTACCTTGGAAATGTTTGCCAACTCTTCCCAGGGGGAAGACAAGTAATTAGCAACAATCTAGCCAATATGTGTTGCCCATTTATCGTTAACTTCATTTGTATTATCTCATGTCATCTTCAAACTTCATGAGATGCTAGACTGCCAGTGCACAGGTTTCTGTTTTCTTTTTCTTTTTTTGAGACAGGGTCTCACTCTGTCACCGAGGCTGGGGTACAGTGCTGCCATCGCAACTCACTGCAACCTCCGTCTCCTGGGTTCAAGCAATTCTCCTGCCTCAGCCTCCATGAGTAGCTGGGACTACAGGCATGCACCACCACACCTGGCTAATTTTTGTGTTTTTATTTTGTTTTATTTTATTTTATTTTTTGAGATGGAGTTTTGCTCTTGTTGCCCAGGCTGGAGCCCAATGGCAGATCTTGGCTAACCATAACCTTCACTTCCCTGGTTCAAGTGATTCTCCTGCCTAAGCCTCCCGAATAGCTGGGATTCCAGGCATGAACCACCATGCCAGGCTAATTTTGTATTTTTAGTAGAGATGGGGTTTCTTCATGTTGGTCAGGTTGGTCTCGAACTCCTGACCTCAGGTGATCCGCTGGCCTCAGCCTCCCAAAGTGCTGGAATTACAGGCGTGAGCCGCTGTGCCCGGCTAGTTTTTGTATTTTTAGTAGAGACTGGGATTACGCCATGTTGGCCAGTCTGGCCTTGAACTCCTGGTCTCAAGCAATGTGCAGCCCCCTTGGCATGAGCTACTACCCCGGGCCTCAGTGGACAAATTTCTGTTGTGCTTTGTAACCTTTGGTGACTTATTCGAACTCTATTTTCTCATGAGTGAAAATGTTACTAACTATGGCACAAATTTAAAGGTTTATTGTAATGTTTATGTATTAGTATATTATTTGTAGAGGCAGACGTCTCATTATCTTGCCCAGGCTGTTCTTCCCAAAATCCTGGGCTCCAGTGATCCTCCTGCCTCAGGTATTATTTAGCAATACTAAAATATATTTGTACATATGCTTATTGACTTGGACAAACTAGCAGCCTCTATGTACATGTGAATATCAACATGAGTATATAATATGAATAGTAAAGGCATGATAATGTGTTGTGTTGGAATGTAGTCCATATTTCCTTAACTTTTTTTAACATATATTTGTAAAGATCCAAAAATAAATGAAGCTACGCAAGAACCAGTTAACTGTACAAACTACACAGCTCATGGTAAGACTTCCAGAAATGTGTCTTTAAAAATAATTTTAAAAACATTATTTCATAGGTTAATGTAGGATCATTAAAAGTAATTAATAGGCCGGGTGCGGTGGCTCATGCTTGTAATCCTAGCACTTTGGGAGCCCGAAGTGGGTGGATCACCTGAGGTCAGGAGTTCAAGACCAGCCTGGCCATCATGGTGAAACCCTATCTTAAAAAGTAAAAAAAAATAATAATAATAATAAAAATAAAGGTAATTAATAAATGCATTTTTTCCAAGTTATAACATTATTTAGTTTCTGGAGTAACTTAAAATTGGAGAACCAGCTAAGGGTTGTCAGTATTTGATTAAAAAAAGCATCTTCTGAAATGGTGAAATTTCACCATATAAACAGTAATAGGGCTGGGTATGGATGTTCTCAGATTCAGTTAGGCAAGTGTACTTATATTTTATATACTTTATTTTCCCTAAATGAATAAGCATATCATTCCCTCATATGGAAAGCCTTCCTTTTATTTTCCTTTAGCTCTCTACTTGCATCATCTGTGAATACTTACCTAATAGTTCTTGGCTAATACTGTAATACCTAGAAGTCCTTTACGCTTCCCAGCAATTTCATCACTTTTGTTTATATCAGTTTGGTAAATGCCATTTATATTACTGTGATTATATTACTTTGGTTTATATTTGATTTGTGGTGTGTGTTTGTGTGTGCGTATTTAACATTCAGTTGGCACCAAAATGATTTTGTATACGTTTATAAACTTGTTTATTAATAATTCTCAAGTGGATTCAACATTTTTTTCCAGAAGACACCTAACTGGAGGGCAGAAGGGCAGACTTCTTTTGGAGGAGAAATTCTTTTTAGTTGTATAATTTCCTTTGAAATCCTCATATCTACAAAAAACCCTCCAGGCTAGAAAAATGCTTTTTTTTTTTTTTTTTGAGATGGCTGGCTGCCTGCTTCCTAGTTTGAAGTGAGATGCTTGAGTTACAATAGTATTGACAGATTTCTAGCATCTTTCATATGAGTGATTGAAACAACTACTTGAGAACTCTATGTGTTAAGTCTGTTCTCTGTGTTCTGAAAGCTGCGACATAAAAGACTTCAGAGTGTAAAACAGGCAAATCAAAGCATATTTATAAGTTAACTACAAAGGGAAGGATTACTTACAAAGTTCCTTTTAATGGCTGGGTGCTGTGGCTTATACCTGTAATCCCAGCACTTTGGGTGGTTGAGGCAGGTAGATCACAAGGTCAGGAGTTCGAGACCAACCTGGCCAACTTGGTGAAACCCTGTTTCTACTAAATAGACAAAAATTAGCCAGGCGCAGTGGTGGGTGCCTGTAATCTTAGCTACTCGGGAGGCTGAGACGGGAGAATCACTTGAACCCAGGAGATAGAGGTTGCGGTGAGCTGAGATCACACCACTGCACTCCAGCCTGGGTGATGGAGCAAGAGTCCATCTCTGTCTCGAGAGGGAAAAAAAAAAGTTCTTTTAAATGTAATATATCTAAATAAAATAAATGTGTACATACTAAGCAATATCTCCTATATAAGGCATATATTATCTTACTACTTTTCTTTCCAGGACAAGGTCTCATCATGTCACCCAGGCTGGAGTGCAGTGGCGCCATCTCAGCTCACTGCAACTTCTGCCTCCCAGGATCAAATGATCATCCCACCTCAGCCTCTGGAGTAGCTGGGACTACAGGCATGCACCACCATGCCCAGCTAATTTTCTTTCTTCTTCTTCTTCTTCTTCTTCTTTTTTTTTTTTTCTATTTCTGATAGAGAAAAGGTTTCGCCATGTTGCTTAGGCTGGTCTCAAACTCCTGGGCTCAAGCAGTCTGCTTGCCTGGGCCTCCCAAAGTGCTGGGTTTATAGGGATGAGCCACCAGGACTGGCTTCCCGACCTTTTTTTGGTTGTTGTTAATTGTAGAGATGAGGGTCTCCCTATATTGCCCATCCTGGTCTTGAACTCCATAGGCTGAAGCAGGCCTCTTGCTTTGGTTTCCTAAAGTGGTGGGATGACAGGCATGAGCCATTGTGCCCAGCTAACTGCCTTTTTTAAAACACACAAAAGCTCATAGGTTAGCTGTGGTGAATCAATTCTACGTCCTGATCAGAGAAGGATATCAAAATAACTCTTGAAACATGCTTTTTGGTTCTAATATAGGAAAAAAATATTAAGAGTTGTGAAAAGTGTGAGTTAAGTGATCTCTCTCTTTTTCTAGCCAAAATTATTTTTCCTTTGTTTTTTTTTCACTGAGTATGTGAAGAACTATTGTGAAATTCTCAAACTATGTTTACTTTTTTTTTTTTTTTTGGAGACAGAGTCTTGCTCTGTTGCTCAGGTGGGAGTGCAGTGGTGTGATCTTAGCTCACTGCCACCTCTGCCTCCTGGGTTGAAATGATTCTCCTGCCTCTGCCTCCCAAGTAGCTGGGATTACAGGCATGCACCACCATGCCCAGCTAATTTTTGTATTTTTAGTAGAGATGGGGTTTCATCATGTTGGCCAGGGTGGCCTTGAAGTCCTGACCTCAGGTGATCCACCTGCCTCGCCCTCCTAAAGTGCTGGGATTACAGGTGTGAGCCACTGTGCCCAACTAATTTTCTTTTTCTTTTTTTTTGAGGCAGGATCTTGCTTTGTCACCCAGGCTAGACTGCAGTGGCACCGTCTTGGCTCACTGCAAACTCCACTTCCCAGGCTCAGGCGATCATCCTGCCTCAGCCTCCTGAGTAGCTGGGACTACAGGCACATGCCACTATGCCTGGCTAATTTTTTGTATTTTCTTTTTGGGGGTGGGTAGAGGTGGGGTGTTGCCATGTTACCCAGGCTGGTCTGGAACTTCTGGTCTCAAGTGATCTACGTGCCTTGGCTTTCCAAAGTGCTGGGATTACAGGCATGAGCCACCACACCTGGCTGTTAATTTTCATAAAGTAATGTTTGGGTAGGGATAAATGTGAGCAGTGTTTTACAGAGGGGATTTTGGAGCTAGTGAGTAAAAATTGGGACAAAAGGTGATGGAAATTCAGCAACGACAATAAATTGATGTGATCTTAAAATGGTTCCTGGTTAGCTCAATATCATTTAACAAGCACATTTTTTTGTTGAGAAAGTATTTATTTGTAATGAATAATTTAAAACTAATTTTACTTTAATTATTGAATTAAGACAATTTATATTAAAAAGTATTGTTTATTGATTGAGAATTTATTTATATTTATTTATTAAGAAATTATTATGTGGCAAGCATCTGCTAGGTGGTATAGGTGATATACAAAGGAAGACATAATCTTGGCCCTTAAGAAGTGTTCTGTCAGCCAAGTGAGGTGGCTCAGGCCTGTAATCCCAGCACTTTGGGAGACTGAGGCAGGCGGATCACCTGCGGTCGGGAGTTTGAGACCAGCCTGGACAACATGGTGAAATCCTGTCTCTACTGAAAATACAAAAATTAGCCAGTCATGGCGGCACACGCCTGTAGTCCCAGCTACTCAGGAGGCTGAGGCAGGAGACTCGTTTGAACCCGGGAGGCAGAGGATGCAGTGAGCTGAGATTGCACCACTGCCCTCCAGCCTGGGCGACAGAGCCAGACTCTGTCTAAAAAAATAAGTGTTCTGTCTAGGTTATATACACATATATCAGTCAGTGTTTTCAATTTTTCTATCACTGAAATGCAAAAAACATACTTAGGTTTTACCTCCAGAAAATTTTGTTATGGTCCTTTGACAGAAGTCTTCTTTATTTTCTTAAGTTTGTATTAAAATATAGTATATTGGCAGGGCACGGTGGCTCACGCCTATAATCCCAGCACTTTGGGAGGCTGAGGTGGGTGGATCACCTGAGGTCAGGAGTTGGAGACCAGCGTGACCAACATGGTGAAACCCTGTTTCTAAAATAAAAAAAATTGGGGCCGGGCGCAGTGGCTCAAGCCTGTAATCCCAGCACTTTGGGAGGCCGAGGCGGGTGGATCACGAGGTCAAGAGATCGAGACCATCCTGGTCAACATGGTGAAACCCCGTCTCTACTAA